GGGGGGGGGCAATTACAGCGAATTATAGGCGATTTCCAGGTTGAGAACCATAGATATGGGGTACATAGAAGCGGAACCAATAAATTGGCAAAAAAAGATGATTAATCCGCAGACAAGAAAAGGAGGCTAAAACAGCACCAGGACATGGATGGCTGGTGCCTCTGCCTCTACATATATAAATAAATCATTGATGGTCAAGGTCAAGTTTCTTTTTTTTTGGGGGGGGGGGGGGATACGATTTCTAGTTGTTCCATTTTCCGATCTTCTGTCTCTGCACATTTATTCTTTGCTTTCGTCTTGGATGAAGACGGGATGAATACAAATGTTGCTGTTTGATCAGCTCGGGTTTGTGCATGCGGTATGTGAGTCTAGAAGTTTGATTGCCAACGGAAAAACACTCTAGTAATTCGACAATGCTTGAAGACGTGCTTTTGTGGGGCGTAACTTCATTTCCATACCGATTGTTTAAGTTAAGTTATCTTTTTTTTTTTTTGAACTCAAAAAGGCATATAACAACATGCATAGTGGCCTACTGTGAGAAATACAGTCGAACCTGCCCTGACAGCCACCTCTGCAAGACGGCCACCTGTACAAACGGCCACTTTCCATTTCCCCCCTTGCGTTTTTTCTTTATAATTTCCACTGTGTAAAACGAGCACCTGTCCAACACGGCCGCGATCACCATATATCAACACAAACCCCTATCACACCAAGCAACAACACCTGTCTTACACGACCACCATATTTTAACACAAACCCCTATCACACCAAGCAACAACACCTGTCTTACACGACCACCATATTTTAACACAAACCCCTATCACACCAAGCAATAACACCTGTCTTACACGACCACCATATTTTAACACAAACCCCTATCACACCAAGCAATAACACCTGTCTTAGACGGCCACCATATTTTAACACGACCCCTATCACACCAAGCAACAACACCTGTCTTAGACGGCCATCATATTTTAACACAAAACCCTATCACACCAAGCAACAACACCTGTCTTAGACGGCCACCATATTTTAACACACGACCCCTATCACACCAAGCAATAACACCTGTCTTACACGGCCACCATATTTTAACACACGACCCCTATCACACCAAGCAATAACACCTGTCTTACACGGCCACCTTAGTGACTCCATTACGGTTTGTCATAAATTGTGCATTGGCCCCTGGCGTTGTGGGCGAGCCGTCATAATCCAATCACCTGTCGTTGTTGTTAGGTAGTCCCTCCAACCAATCATGTTGCATAGGCCCCTAGCTCCCACTATTAACCAAAAGGTAGTCTAACGAATTTTCAGCTGTTGGTAAGGTAAGCGTGTGATCCCTCATAACCAAGGAGTTTATTGCTCATAACCCATAAACCCCGTCCAGAACTCATACACAATCGTGCGTGAGATGAGTGGTCACTGTTTACCCAGTCTGTAACAAAGTAACAATGGATGTAAACATGAACTTGTGACAAAAGCGTCGCTCGTTCTCCGAGTAGTGGCGACCCATGTGTTTGATTTACCATAGCACTCGGTCCTCCTTGTCTCACACATTTCGTTTTGACACCCTTGCACAAAAGCAGCAACAACAAAAAAACAAAAAAAACCAGAAAATAAATGAACCAGCGAAAACAACATTAACAACAACAACAATCGGACCCAATATATCCATTGTGCAGCGAGGAGCCCCAAGATTTGGAGCACTGGCTGCAGAGATGCCCCGTCACGGAGGCCCGGCGGTGGCATCTCTTCGGGGAGGATTCAGGGAGGTTGGACTGCCTCACCCGCTACCCAAGGGAGGCGGTGGCCCTGGCGAAGAGCACACTCTTCGGGGCTCCGAACATTTCGAACGGATAGGCTACCACACACACACACACAACAATGCGGCAACCTTCCGTTGGGACCGTGCTGGGGAGGTAGCTCTTGTCCTTTCACATCAACCTATAACGCTGAAAAAAATATTGCTTGAAAAGACAAAACCGGATGCTCGTATTTAAAATCTCATGGCTCAAAGTGGGGCACCTCCCACTGCTGCGTGGACGTATGCACTGGTGTGTGTTATTCCAGTTTATGCTCTCTGCCATTTTCATACAACTTCATATAAGGAAAATGTTTGGAGGTATTACAGTAACAACGTGTGCTACTGTTTACTTTTTAAATAAATCTTTGGTGAAAATCTCTCTTTAAGGAATTTTATCTTGTCTGTACAAATTTTATTCTAGATGGATATATACATTTCAGCAGTGAAAGGGTTTTAATCAACCATTCACAAAAAAACGTGTTTTTGAGTGGGACGAGCTATAGATTATCTAGCTGACTTAGGTCGATTGATAAACTCTGGGCAAGTAGAAATCGTCTTCCACTTTCTGCCCCCACCCCCTCACCTCCTTTGCCCCCTCCTCTGGGCTCCTGACTCTTTCTGCAGCCTTTCTACTGCTACTCCTTGGTTCCTCCTTACTGCTGTCTTTCTGCCACACCCCTGATCTTCTGGTAGGAAAGATCTACACCTAGCCTTCTCGGACAAGGGCGAAAAATCTCGGAGGGCCCGGGTGCAAGTTGCGCACGTTAAAGATCCCTTGGTGGTCTAAAATCGATAAGAGTAGGCTTCGGCCGCCACCCGGGCAAAATTCAAAATTTCTTACCAACTGAAATATTAGGTGTGTCCCGCGCGCTCATATGACCTATGCAGTTGCGAGCGCCGTAAAACACTTTACAAAAACTAAACAAGAAATCGTCGTAGCCGTGGGAACCATCAAACTATCGATTTGCTTTCTTTTAGTTTTAGTAAGCGTTCTACGGCACTTGCAGCACAAAATATCGGTGACATAAGTGCCGGAGATTAGGGGTGTTAAAATGAAGATGCAAACACAAAAATAGAAGGAGGAGAGATAAGGGCAACAGATGGAAAAGATGGAGCAAACCACACCAGACCACCCGCCAACATCCCACTGACAGTCTCGGGGGCTGCAACCTGTCCCCGTCGTTTTATGCAGGAAAAATTATGAAATTATGCAAACTGAGCCCAAAAATGTGAAATTATGCGATTCTGTTAATTTTAACAAAGAATAATAAAGGAAAATAATCAGAAATTATGCAAAAAATGATCAAATTTTGCTAAATTATGCGGGGTGCATAAAACCACGGGGACAGTGCAACGATTTTCTCTACTCCCACAATCCCTGTTATATCAGGTTTCCACTGTAGTTAGTTTCCAAGTTCAATCAGCTCAGTACCTAGTTTTGAGAAAGTTGGCGTTAAAAATTTGTTTCACAACACGTCAAGCTTCTTTTTTTTTAAGCGATTCTTCGAAAGTCTTAATAACGACTCCAAATAATCTGACGATTTTGATGGAG